ACAGACAATCTGATCTGAACACAGGCACTAAAATTCAGTTTAAGAAATGACTGATATCAATCCTGATGATCTAATTTTACTGAAATAAAACATCATTATTAAAACTCCCTACTGTGTCTTTAAACAGATTTAATTTATAGGTGCAGGAAACCTTAAATGACTTGTCACCATGTGAGAAAGCATGGTTAAAAAAAAATCCTTCTTGATGATATATGATTACAGAATCAAGTATCAACACAACAGAGTAATAAGGTGTTTGGATGTATTTGTCTCTTTGAGGTAAAGAGTGAAATAAGATCAAAGTATCACAAACATGTATGATCTTGTGTTGTTCTCTTTACCCAGGATGACTCAGCAAATATTGAACCATGAACAGCTCACTCCACGAGGCTGAAAGCACAGAGCTGAGACAGTAATCTGTGATTTCATACAGAACTAATGCACAGCTTGGACCTGCTCCACTGACAAGAACGGGAAACGAACCCTTCTTTCAAACATGCAAAACAAGCCTGATCCCCACAGCCCTCCCCTGCCATGTCAGCTATCTGCTCAGCGTATTCACTGTCCTGCTCCTCTTTGATACGACTTTCTGTAACAGATTAAAGGAGAAATCCTGTCTCTTGTTGTCACAGTGGGGACACAGATTAACACTTCCTAAAACTGTCCAACAATAGAACAAGAAAAGAGACATTTCCTGAGCTTCCAATGTCATGCAAAATCCTCCTAGTTTCTAAAAATTAAAGCTGCTACTGTCTTCAAATTTCCTTTTGTTTACTTGAGGACAAAAGTCTAAATCATGCCCACAGTTTTTAAACTACCACTAAAGTTGCTATAGCTAGAAAGTTAGCAAAAAGTTGTATATTTTACATCTTCAAGTTTCTGTCTGTGAGCTAAAGTTAATGACAATATTTACTCTCACTTTAGTTTTTCTTTGGCCTACACACACTCGAGAAAGCAAATATCCTGCTCATTATCTCCCTGGCGCTCCACCTCTTCACCTGCTGGTTGCTAACTTTGCAAGATGATTTGTCTTGTGGTGGGTGGTGTTAAACTTGGTAGGCGGTGCTCAGTGGGTTAAGTAAAAACAGCTGCCTGCTTTTAGAAATTACCAAAAGTTTCTGGCTTAAGAATTTCAAATAGTTAAGTTGAGTCAGTTAAACTTAAACAGTTAAAAATGTTACTCTGATAGAAAAGTTTGGCAGAGAAAACTTAACAGTATATTTTTTCATGTGGGACTGTTTTTTCTACTACAACAGATCAATATGACATTTAATTTTGTCCACTGTACAACAGAAAATACAATTTACTTTTAGGTCAACATGGCTAATATGAAAAATGAATTGAAATAAGCAACGCAGAGATTGCCTGAGCCCGCAGATGCATAAAAGATGTAATGACTTAAACTTTAAGCCCTGTATGACAGTGCTGCAGTGGGTTTCATCCTTTCAAACAACATCTATCCTATCACTGTATCCCTAAATGCAGAAAAACATGCACATCGCTATACAAGTTATGTCATAGCTGATGCTATATCCCTGCAAGTATCAGGGACTTCATACATGCACATTAAGATACGACACAGCAGCTTCAAATAATGATCCATTAAATAATCAAGACGCCTTGAAAAAGCAGAGCTATCCCTTTAAATTGAATTTAAATGCATGCATATTATATTGATTTTGGTTGTGTTGCATGACAGTTGGCGGTGGGCAGATTTCCCATCAGCAAAGAACATTAATTCCCAGCTTTGTAACAGCCATATCTCCCCCGCAGGTATAATGTTAGTCAGCATTGCCACTTTAATTTTGATTTTCAGGGCTTCATCTTTTGTGACAAGAAAATTACCTCACACTAAAACATAAAAAAAAAGTCTTTCCTTTCATTGAGTTTCCTGGAGAACAGCAAACACGCAGGTGCGAATCAATAGGAACTAATGGTGGATAAAAGATGCAGAGGCAGTGCTTTGTGTTTGCAGCAGATTCGTGGAGATTAATATGACAAGTAAATATAATCCAGGGCTACTGAATGCCAGAAAGTAAAACACAGTCAACAACAGGCAGCATTCTCGCCTCAGGGAGCTGTGTATTCAGGAGCACTGCATCAGGCCAGAGCAGTTTTTCTGTCATTTGGAGTTGCTGATCAATACCAGTGACTCAGCTCCTGCTCCAGTGCCAGAAAATGTCAGGAGCTGAGATTTCTGTATTCCACAACTCTGTGTACAGCTGTAGCTCTGCTGCAATATTTTTCTCTTTTCAAATGCTGGACTCCAACTCAGAAACTGAAAAGCTCAGAGAAGTATGGCATAGAGGTGAAAAGGTATTTTAACTAACAGGTGAAGAGGCGCTGGTGACCAGTGTGAGAGATTTGGGCATTTATGATACCTTTGAAAATGACTAATATTCGAAAAAATCATGATCAATTGCTTAATTTTAATAGTTGATTAAGATTAGGTACATTTTCAATCCTTTATTTAAAATCAGTTTGGATTTCAAACAGTTTCAAGTCCTAACTGAAACCCTGACAGCTTCAGAGTGTTGTTCTGTCAAAAACAAGGTTTATTTTCGTCATTTCAAAGTATAAGACTCCTACACATAATACCGGTTATAGAGATCACACAAATTCACTATTCTTAAAATCAAAAACATCAAAATTCACTGACCTGGTTCACTTTCAAACAGCAAAAATCCTGTACAAGCAATAAACAATCTACTGCCTGGAAATATCCAGAATTGGTTTTCTAACAGAGCTGGGGGTTATCATCTGAGGGGGGACTTTAACCTAAAGCATCAGTATGCAGGTACAACACTAAAAAGTTTTTGTGTTTCTGTTGGTGGAGTAAGGTTGTGGAACATTAGGTGTAGAGCTCAAGTGTTGTCCAAGCATGACTCAGTTTAAGAAGCGGTACAAAAACATGATTCTCACCAGGTACAGGGAGGAAGAAGGTTAATTAATGTACTTATTTATTTTATTTATGTTGTATTTTTTTGTTAATATAATTTAATTTTGCTGGAGACTTACTGATATTATTAAGTAAAGGAGAAGGGGTGGGTTTAAAAAAAAATCATACTGCTTCATCCTACTTCTTTTCGGACATGTCTGGTAAACATGATTTGTTCTTCTTTTATTATTTTATTTTATTTTGATTTTTTTGCTTTGATTATTGTTATTGTTGTTTTGAATACTCTCATTGGTTATGTTTAATTGTTTTCAGTTTACTTTTGGTTTTGTACGCACATGTTGAAAAAATAAATGAAATGAAAAATGACACATCAAGAAGTATACAAGAGTGCAAAACGTCCAATCAGTGTCCATGTGGTGGGCACTTACTCTGTGATAACTTTGATTACTCACTTTAGCCAAGAGATCCCCCAAATATTAGACAAAATTGGTACTTTTGGTTGAATATTAGCAACTATTGTTCCCTAATCTCCACTAATCTGCATTTTGGTAGCATATTTCAACATTTCAGTGAATTGGGTGACAAACCAAAACACCCCACATCTCCATTACCTGTTATTTCTATTGAAAACTCATGAGCACAAGATTAACTAAATAAAAACTCATGTTCCAAGACTCTCGGTAAGAAACCAGAAATCCCTCACCTGAAAACACAGAAATTTGCCACCCGCTAGTCAACTAAGGCCCGAACTACACGAATGCGGATATATTTCAAACCGCACATATTTTTGTCCAATTAGGCCTCCCTACCACACCAAAACGGGAGTTTGGAGCACTCAAACCGGATAAATCTGAATCCGGAAAAACAAGTGGAGAAATAAAAAAATATCCGTATCCCGTATCCGTAGTGGATTCGTGTGGTTGGACTTTTACGGATCGATGACGTCAAATCGCAGCTCGCGCATGCGAATTAAAAAGAAAAACAACAACAACAACGATGGCGGACATACAGGGTATTCTTTACGCTTGTTTTGCCCTTTTGGGGCTAATTTCAGCCTTTCAAGTGAACCTAGTTTTATACAATTACATCCACCAGTCAGCCAGCTCACAGACGCGTCTGCTGCGGCCAATCTTTTTATTGGTCACATGGTCCGTCACATGGATCCGACGCACTAGTGTAGCTTCCGCAAACAATGCATGACGCATCACGCTGTTACGATTCATCGGCCAATCAGTTAGCTTTGTTGCTGAATTTTTTTTAAGCGGCACCATATAGGATTGAGTTTGAAGGCTACGTGTGGATGCAGATATTTTTGAGAACTAACACATGTGGACAGATACATTTATTTAGACGGGAGTACAAAAATATCCTGATAAATAAATATCCATATACGTGTAGTTCGGGCCTGAGACCCAGAACTAACATAACACCAACTCCTGCCATGTCTCTTGTTTACTCCCCCGAATCTGGTAGTTGCATCAGGCCTGAGCTCTCCCAGGAGTTTTTTTTTAAGTGAAATGTGCAGCTCTGAAGTGCAGGTGTTAATTACAATCACAGGAGCGGAGGGAAGCAGGAAGACACTGTGACAGCTTAATAACGGTCTGCTGAAAAGGACAAAATGGCGTTTTTTTAAAAGTTGATTTCTGACCATAGCTGCATCCCAAATGGTGTGCTGACAGTCTGAGGAAACACTGAACCCCCTACAGAAAAACAGAAGACTTTAGACCATAAATATCTGAACACTCAAATGTCACATAAAAGAAAGGTTTGAGGTCAGAGCCCAGACATGATGCCAGATGTCTAAATAGATTTTTATATTTGAAGTACATAGGCCATCTGCACAGCTGCTGTTTCACACAAACAGGGTCAAGAAAGGACTTTTGAAAACGTTTAACCTATCACAGAGAGATGAAACACTCTTTATCTGATTGAATCATTTTGATATGTTTGCTTTTATTGTGTGAAAAACACACTTTAAAACAGGTTTTACGATTATGTCTGTCCAACAGACTGAGTGTGGAGTCTCTGAGCAGAGCAGAAGGTGAATGCTGTGGCTGACTGGGCATCAGCTAAAGGAAATATCTGCTCCTCCTCTCATCTGTCACACCTCTGACATCTCTCCTTGACATGAGCGGCTGCCTGAGCTCCGCAGAAAGTAAATGGTGCGCTGTTTCGAGCTGAGAGCGAGCATGACACAAACAGGAAGCGGTCTGCTGACAGAGGCCTCAGCCGCCTCACCCCTCGGCCCCCCTCTGCTCTCCTGCGGCCCTCGGGTGCAGATGTAACGGCCCTGATGCTTGCTGCAGCCACCTGCGGGACAGAAGCCGTTTGAAGTATTTTGTCATTTCATTGGCTCCTCAGTGGCTTCAGCCCTCCAGACATAAATACTGTATCGTCGGAGAATTTCTGATAATGCTGTCTCCAAAAGTTAAGCAGAGAAGAATGCATGCCTTTATATGATAAAAATCTGCTCCATATGTGTTTATGCTAAAGTGAGAGGTCGCCCTGCTTTCCTTCACAGCGCAGGAATCAGTCAGGAAGCTGCAGCTCAGCACAGAAGAAAATCCATCTAAAGCTGCTGGGTCAATGTTTCCTCCACTTCCAACAAATCAGCAGAAAGCTGCAGAGCCGCCCTCATTCTGGACAAAATGCTCAAGGGTCAGGGGTCAAACAAACCTGTGTGGCCTCCTATCTGCTGTCTGCCCACAAGTTAACCCTGTTTGACTCAGACCTGATCCTTCTCAGACTCCCGGCTCTGCACTCTGTGCTGCTCCACAGCGGGAGTGGAAAGATTAAAATAAGCAGCAAACAAATAAAACGCAACAATGAAAATATGCAAATGATATTGAAAATTCCAAAAAATACAACAGAGGCAAACAAAAGATCTGACCGTGTGAGCTCTGAAGTATGATTTACTGGTTTAGTTTCTAAGACGAGAAAATTTCCTGCCATGGCTGAGAGTCATAAACCCAGTCAGTGATACCTGCCAGTCTGCTCCTCTCTTTGTTATTGAGGATATTACCGTATTTTTCGGACTATAAGGGGCACTTAAAATCCTTAAATTTTCTCAAAAATGACATTTAGCGCCTTATTATCCAGCACACCTTATGGATGATTACTTGTTGTGCTTACTGACCGATTTAATGTGGTACAATGCGCTAAAAAATCTGTCCAAATGTGTAACTACGACTTTGGTAAGCGACGAAGCCGCTCCGCTCAATGGATATCGGAGCATTACTGTCCGCTGTGTCACTACCAACAGGACCCCTGAGCAGTCTACAAGACTGCCTGACTGTAATGTCTAAACTAGAAGTACATTCATGTAAGGCAGCCCAGGCCCAGAGTATGTGCCAGCAACAATAAACCAACCAATGCTTAATGCACTTTACAATCCGGTGCACCTTGTGTGAACATAGACACTTTGCGCCATATGATCCGGTGTGCCTTATCACCCGAAAAATATGGTACATCAGAGGCATGTATGATTTCTACGATCCCAGACTGGAGAGGCGTCGACTCTGTCTGGAGAAGTATTCTTGCATTTACATCACATGCTTGAAGGTGATTTTGATGGGGTTAACAAAGAGGCTGGAGTCCTGCCTCAACTCCACCTTTTTAATCTCTTGATTGCTGAATCAGCATTTCCAACATGGTGACTGCAGCGGACAGGCGTCAACTGGTGAGGTAACTGAGACTACGCCTGTGTATCACACACAGTTTGTCAGGCTAGGAAACTGTGTTTCTAAGACATTAATGAGCAGTACAGGGGCTCCACAAGGGACAGTGCTGGCGCCATTCCTGTTCACACTGTATACGTCAGACCTCAAATACAGAATTGAGTCCTGTTACATCCAAAAATACTCAGATGACACGGCTATCGTGGCATGTATCAGAAATGGACAAGAAGCTGAATACAGAGATCTGATAAGAGCCTTCAGTGACTGGAGTCACAAAAACGGCCTCCTCCTCAACACCTTTAAAGACAAAGGAGATGGTCATAGACTTCCATAGATCCAAACCCCCTCTTCAGCCAGTGAACACCTGTGGGGTGGACATCGAAGTGGTGACATCATATAAATATCTAGGTGTACATCTGGATAATAAGTTGGACTGGTCTAAGAGCATAGACTTCATTTACAGGAAGGGGCAGAGCCGCCTCTTTTGCCTGAGAAGACTCTGATCAATAGACATCTGTAGTAAGATGCTGCAGATGTTTTATCAGTCTGTGGTGGCAAGTGTTTTGTTCTGCGCTGCAGTCTGCTGGGGAGGAAGAATCAAACACAAAGATGCAAGATGTCTTAACAAACTGGTGAAAAACTGGCTCTGTGGTTGGATTCAAGTTGGACTCACTGGAGGATGTGGTGGAGAAATCTACACAAAGGAAGGTGGAGACTATTCTGAAGAAAATGGATCAACCACTTCACACCACCTTGATGGACCAAAGGGCCAATGATGGTGGACGGCTCCTCTCTCTTCGCTGCAGGACAGAAAGATTCACAAGATCTTTTGTACCAACAGCGATCAGACTTAATAACTCTTTTGTAAGTAGTAGATGAGTTTTAGAGACATGACAAACGAGACGACAGACAATTCAATTTCCCTTCAGGGATCAATGAAGTTATTATTCTTATTCTTACAGTCTAGGGTTTCTGCAAGGTCTGGATCAGACTGAACCTTTCGATCATTAGGGGTGGGTATCAGGAACTAATCTCGGGTCGGTTTTTACAACACATTTTTCAGATTCAGTAGATTTCTGGGAAATAGAGACATGTGTCTGGTATAAACCGACATAATCTAGCGTGCCGATCATGTTTGTATCCAGAGAGAGATAACTCTTTGTAATGTGCCAACTGACTTATAGCTAAATCCTTTTTCTCTTTGAGAGTGACACACTGCCAGAGCTGAAATATTGCTGTTTCCTCCCCAAATCACTGCAGGATTACATACTGCAGATTTACTGTTTACCATGAGCTGATCAATATTGGAAATAATGCACCAAACAGAGCAGTGTTACACGGTGCTCTTTAATGTTGTGCACTCCCGATGCCAATAAGTGAACTCTCTTCTTTCATCATAACAGGGATGAATCAGGCTTTCTGTGAGAAGTAATGACTTTCACTGTAGCATCCAGATTTCAGTGTTCAGCATTTTATTCCACTATGAAGGCAAATCAATGCATGAGCAGATTTATTAATGGAGAGTAATTGTGCAGGCTCTTTCTTTCTGTTTGAACTTGCTGGGAGAAAATACTAAAGCAAAGTAGCTCGACTTTGCAGGAAGAAATACTTAATGATATCCGTCATTTTCCTGTGATGTTTTAGAGGCAAAGCGCCACATGTGGTTTTCCCATGCAGCCCTTCAAAATTCCATCAGTCGGTTCCATTGTTCAGAGCATCATGTTGCCTGTCTTTTTAATATGCCAATGAAACCCAGCTGATTCAATTCTGACGTGGCCCCCATGCCGAGCCCGTGGCGGGGACCGGCGGCAGCTTTAATGGCTTCTGACAGGCAAATCAGAGATCAAGATGGAGTGCTGTACTAAATGGTAGGTCTTCATAATTACAGGGCAGGTGGGCTTCAGCCAGGCAGAAATGGTGGCTCGAGTCGTCGCTGCGCAGAATTTTCCTCAATAATTAATGGAGCAGAACCCGCTCCCTGCAGAGGAGGAGACGAGCTGTTCGAAAATGCACTTCGCTTATGATGAAACACCGCCAGAGTTTAAAGACACATTTCTATCCGACACATGTGAGACCCACCTTCATTACTGCAGATGTTAGCGAGCGGCTTTGTTAGTGTGAAATATACCACAGAAGAACTTTTTACCTGCAGTGATCATTTAAAACTCACCACCAGAGCTATTAATAAACTGATTTGCTGTTTTATTGCTCCTGAAAGGATGCTTGTGCAGAGGAAAGGAAAAGTTCAGTGCTTTAGCAGTGGTTTATCTCTGTAAAATATTTGCACAGTGACATTAAAGACACATCTGTCTGATAAAATCTGCTACATTTTGCTGGGGAAATTGCAGGTATTACAGATCTCTTTGGGTAAATACGTAGCAATAAAAGCAGGAAATAAGCAACTAATGTCACAGCAATTTCCTCTGTGAGCTCTTTGAAGTGCAGACCTTTACTGTCCTTAGTGGGGAGCAAAAATCTTCGCCGAGATTCCAGCGGAATGAGAAACCATGCTGCTGCTCAACCTGTGTCAGGCTGAAGCATAAAAGCGCACCGTGTGTTTTCAATTAAAATGATGCAAATGAAGCCTGATGTGTGCAGCGCATATGCATCCGCTTTAGGTCAGCCATCCCAGGCGGCTTTCCTTTCAATTACATGATGTAATGAATCCATCAAGTGAAGTCGGACACTTTAATGAGAGCAAAACTGAGAAGCACTTGTGACTGCAAATTCAAACTGATAATGTCGTGAGGGGCCTCAAACACTATCTCATATTCACTGTGACAGGAATGTAAAGTAAAATTGTTTTTTTTATGTAACTCAGTGGAATATATATATATATTATATTTGACTATATAAAGCTAAGTGTATGACATGTTAGCGTCACTGGTATTTTCTTTCCTTCACTTATAGATACAGAAGAAATATTCATCTCACTATACAAACAGAGAGAGTAACTGGAATCATGATCAAATGGAAAATAAAGCATCACCCTGACAATAAAGTGATAAACAGATACTGTCTTAAAGTCATTGTGATGGTGATAACGCGCTGCTCTCTACAATAACAGCTGAAGGGTAGATGTCAGAAAAATGTCAAAAAATTTTCCTTGAGTGTGAAAATGGAGCAGAGAGATTTCCTTTGTTAGAAAACATGACTTACACATGTACAAGACAAAAAGCAAAGAGAGAAGAGGAGGCCCTTTGCCCACACGGGGCACCGGAATCAATATAACCCACAAGTTCTACACAGGAGCTTATATAGAGGTTTTTCTTTCTTGTAATTTTAATGTTGCATCCGTCCATATCTCTATCTTCTTCTGCTGATCCAGGATCAGGTCCCAGTGTGCAGTATAGGCAAGTCGACCCAGATCTCCCTCCACCCAGTGATGCTCCTCAGCTCCAACTCTGGGATCCCAAGGTGTTCTCAGGCCAGGTGGGATGTGTAATCCCCAATGGGTCTCCTCCCTATTAGACATAACTGAAACTTCTCCAAAGGGGGGTATCCTGACCAAATGCTTGAACCACTGCAACTGACTCCTTTTGATTCACAAGAGCAGCGTCTTTATTTCAAGCTCCCTCCAGAAGTCCAGCAAAATGAGGACCACTCTTAAGAGCTTCCTCTGAAGATTTTTTCACCACCTCCCCCTATAAGAAGCTCTCTTGACGCTTTTCCGCCTCAGATCAATTCTGTATTCAGAATCTGCTCACCCGTTCATGCTTTTCAGAGTCAGAAGATTAGCCTAGATTGTCTTATCTTCATTCATGAAGAAAGTAAACAGATCACAAAATGTTACCCTCCTTCGGATTATTTCTTCTAAATACAAATGTTTCCACCATGAGAGTGATACGGTCTTGTATATATGTGACAGACTGATAACACATCCTCTGTATACGCCATGGCCCTCCCCCACCTGTCCGCCACATCTTCCTGATGTGCTGATTTTGCACTAAAAGCTCCTCGTGGACTCTTTGTAGTTAACTCCAGGCTGCGTTTCAAAGGCGGCTCCCATACATCAATAATCTCCATCATATATTTTATTCTCCTGTGTGTGTGTGTGTGTGTGTGTGTGTGTGTGTGTGTGTGTGTGTGTGTGTGTGTGTGTGTGTGTGTGTGCTCATATAGATGACATCATCGTTGGCTGTTTTTCTCGCATGTTTACCTCCACATCTTCGCACTGCATCCATCAGATTCCAGCGCTCTGAGATCCCATCGCCAAGAGCCTCCATCACTTTGTTGTTCCTCAAGTCTTTTTTTCTTTTTCTGTCTCCAGAGCAGTTACTGCCTCTTTTGTTCGCCATTTTGATATGTTTATTTACTGTGTGGACTGCTTTGATCCGAGCTGGGCAGGGAGAGTGCTGTGTGTGTGTGTGAGGTGGGGGTGAATGTCCCTGTGGAGGAAAATGCCTGTGAGCAGGCTGCCATGTCCACTAAGGCTGAAGAGAGACAGCTGAGGGGGGCTGGGACTGACGCATAGCAGGTTATGTGTCTCTCTAGGGCTTTACAGTGCTACTGCAACACAACCTACACCTACACTCACATCTTTCTACACCCACACATACTGACAGACAACATACGACGGGGTTGTGTGAGGTCCGAGCTGCAGTATCAATCCTGAATGCACGGACTTCACACAAAATCTCAGAGTACACCAAAAAAAACTGTCAAAATGCAGCAGCTCCTGTGACCCTGGCTGATGTATTGGTTTGTCAATACTGAACTTTTATTAACATCAGCCATCGACTGGTAAATGTCACCCTCTCACCAAAATGATGGAGCATCCTCCCTGACCAACACTTCATAAAAAGCCTGTAAAATCCAGCAGAGACAAATGTTGTTTTTTGGGGACATTTTATGCGTTTAATCCTTAAAAATAAACCCCAATTCCAACTCCTCCGGTCAGGTGCGTTTGGTTAGTCTTCTCTGTGCTCTGAAGTAGCTTCATGATGGCACCGACATTGGGTCATCCCTCTTCTCTCAAAGGGACTTAGGCCAAATGATCCCATGATGTTTGTGACTTCCAAAAGTAGGGTCAAGTTTTGACTCCTCGTACCATCAAATGGTTCTCTATCTCCTCCTTGTTCATGGGTTTGGGCCTGGAGAAGCCGTTGGCACTTCTAGATCACGCCTTGAAAGCTGTGTCCATGAATTCCAAGAAGAAAACTGAGTTTTGAGATGTACCACCTCTCTGTATTGTAGTTTATTAAGTCGGGTTCTTCCTCTCTGTAGTCCAAAGTGTTTTGTCTAAGCAAACACTTAGACAGACAGTGGCGTTTGTGTCAGACCGTCTTGAAAATTACGTGGTAGATTTAGGCCCTCCTTACACGAGGACAGCCCTGTATTGTCTTGGCGTCGGCACCAAAACGTTTATCGCTGTTTACACATCGTATTGTCCACACAAAATCCACGCAAAATCCTGTAGTACATACGCCCGGCCTAAAGGTGACACTGTGAAATTGCCATAAAGCACCAAAAACAGCGAATGCGCATACATACATGCTGCGCGTGTGTGACAACGTGGGTTGGGGGGCGGGGAGAAGGAGGGGTGCTATGAGGTCACCATCTTTGCCGGACTTGTCTATTTACACCAACTACGGCATTAAGACGAATACCCAGATATCCACCTGCAGACCCGTTTTCAAAAAAGATGCGGAGTCATGGACAAATACGCGTCTCCGTGTGTCAATATCACCAGATCGATAGTTTATTTTACCGGTGTCTTACAAATTCGTACTCGTGTAAAGACCACCTTATTCCTGACAAGCTGACCAGGATCAAAATACATTTTTTTAAGTACTAAGATGTGGGGAGATAGAGAGACAGGGGGGAGGACATGTAACACATGGTCGGGGCCTGACTCGAGCTCGCGACGCTGAGGTGACTGTGGTCCCCATACATGGGGCGGGCTAACCCACTCAGCCATCTGCGTGCCCCTACAGGCTAAGATACTTTGAGGACAACTTTTACCTCTACATGGATTGTCTCAAAAACATCATGAACTTTGACAGAAATCTGCCATGACTACAACCTGAGGATTTCAGGCCGAGATATATCCAGAGAGCTCACTGATGCTGTGTCTAACTCAGTATTTGTTGACTGTTGTGCTTCAATCTGCATTACAGCGCGGGATAATTGACATGTTTTATATGACGACACGGCAGATTATCGCTGTAATTCTATTTGAAGAGTCTCACAGATCAGATTTACTGGTGTCTGTTCCATCCTGACAGTCTCTGTTCGTTGTCAGTCTCACTAATGGACTAATCTGCTTTATTTCTACAGTGATGATGAGCTTGCGCACAGTGCAGCATGAGGCACAACTATCAAGACACTATCTGTTCTCCCTGTTGACTAAACAGGCGTGTACCAAGGAGGTGTTTGAATGAATTTTTCATCCTCATCCGATGTTAATCTGTAAAGCTCTGTTGAACTGCTGAGACAAGCTCCACTGTGCCTTTATCACTGATCCCACATCGTTCAGACTGAACACACAAGGATGGCATGCCAGCCTGTGGAGAGACATGTCATACATCGACACACACTCTGTTAGTAACTGAGGTCAGCAATCAGCCATGTGACTGTGTAATTGCTATTGATTGAAGAGCTGTGTACACACACACACTAACACACAGTCTGGCCTGTCTGCCATGACCAATTATGGGGTTTGGGAGGAAGTTATAGTCCAGCAGTCACTTTTATCAGACGATGGACATTCCAGTCTGCAGAGTCTCCTCTGACGGGAGGATCCCTGTATCAGGATGTGACTCATGTTTGGCACTACCTCCTAAATTTCCACAAGCTGTTTGATCTCTCCTCCACTTGGACAGGAGAAAAAAAAAAAAAGGTAAATCATCTAAATAAAACAGACTTCACTTTTATTACCACTGAGCAAACCTCTGCTGCATTAATCATCTGAAAAACTCATTTCCATCCAGGAGCAATCCAAACAAACAAAAGCCGAACCAAAGAGGTTGATTAATTTTAAAAGATCAGCGGGCTAGCTCGCTGAATGTCAAGTATCTCACACACCAGCAGGCGTGATCCTCAAAGTCCAAGTGAAATTATTAGCATACAAATCTGTTTGTTCTCCTACGATCTCTTCAGAGACGCAAATATTACTCAAGAGAAAGAAAATTAACATTTAAGATTTTGCTTTAGGAACTAGATTTCTGATGAGGTTCAGATACATCGCAAGGAATTTTAAACAGACGGATCTTTAATAGTGGTGAATTTTGCAGTTTTATGGGAGAGCCCCATGTATGAAGGCTTTCGTCTTCATTGAAGAGGTTGTACTTAACTCAACTCAAACTTTATTCATAAAGCACTTTTAAAAACAACCGAAGCTGACCAAAGTGCTGTACAGGTCAATAAGACACAGCGAAATACATAAAACAGACACATCAAAAACACAGAATACAAGATTAAAATACAGCAAAGTAAAATTGAGGTACAAATACACCATAAATAAAAACAAATATAAAATACATAGGAAGGTAAAAAACAAATATGAAATATAAAATACCAATCAAGAGCTAGGTAAAAGCTAGGGAGAAAACGTGTGTTTTTAAAAGAGGATTTAAAAACCTCTATCGACTCAGCTGAACGGATGTGATGAGGCAGGCTGTTCCAGAGCCTTAGAGCAGCTGCCCCAAAGGCTCGGTCACCTTTACTCTTTAGGCGAGTCTTCGGGACGACCAATAGCCGCTGATTGGCAGATCTCAGTGCTCTAGCGGGGGCATGAATGTGTAAGAGCTCAGACAAATACCCGGGGGCCAGTCCATTAAGAGCTTTAAAAACAAACAATAAAGTTTTAAAATTTATTTAAAAGAGACTGGGAGCCAGTGGAGAGAAGCGAGGTTGTAGTAGGGCAGGGCGATAAACGGAAAGTTTACCCATACCGAAATGTATGGCAATAACCAACGTCATTTTGCCCATGTCAATATATTCAGTCTCAAAAAAATAAATAAAAGTTGGTTTTGAATGTTTGTACGTAGGCTATGGTCTCATGTCCCTTTAAGACGCTGTCCTATGTCAGAGACGTGACTCCACCCCATGCAGTCCGTAACAAAGAGGGAAAGACAGGTGAGAAGATTGAGAACGGCGACCGAAGTAGACGAAGTTAATGTGGGAGGAGGTGAGCAGCTTGTGGTGTAGTTATCGTTCATTTATCGTTACCGAGGTGAACTGCTCATGAGTCGTGATATTAACTTGAGGACATATCCCCCAGCCCTAGCTTGTAGGCTGGAATTTCAGCCATGGCTCTCTTCTGCATTTCTCTATATTTTCTCTCTCTTTCCAGCGGTCCAATCCATTAGAGACCGCAAAGACCTCAAAAGAACTTAAACACCCTGATAGAAACTTCCCTAATTTTCTCATAATGTATAATATATAGCTCTCTGATATATCACTCTCACTCTTTGGAAGTATTAAAACTTTATTCACCGGCTGATGTGACTCAATTAAAAAGTTTCTGCATCTCTGCTCTGTCAATACTAAAATGAATCACTTCAAACGACTCCATTAACTCAATTCTCACTGATTTAACTGTCTCAAAACTTCAAGCTCAATCAGGAGGAGATAACAGGTGAATGAAATAATGTGGCTCTTCTGTTTAAGCTGCCGTGTTGGCCTTAATATAAGATGACCCTGATAAAGAGACAGCCTGTCCTTCGTGAAATGAGTTTATGGACAGACCTTGAGAAGACAAAATCTGTCTAATAAAGAAAACAGATCTAATTTCAGACATAGGTGGAGGTGGGGCTCACACAAACAGAGGAAGCGTGATGTGTTTAACAGACTCAGAGTGATGTAATTTTGCAGGGGATTATGCCTACAAGCGACAGAAATCAGTAACCAATAATGAGGCGGATACAGATCCTTCTCCAGAGATGAGCCTTAAGGGCCCATCGGGGCATCTATGAACTTACACATGTTAAAAAAGGCCGTCTCTAAATGATCTACAGCACACAGGGGGCAAAAAGGTCATGGCATTGTGCGCAAAACATGCACAGATCTCCGTATGAGTTATGCATGAAACAAATCCCACATGCACAGCTGGAACGATCAATGCGTATACATGCACAAGCCTATGTTAACATGTCTCCACGCTTGTCAATAATGCTTTTTACTTACAGGCTTAATAATTGGCAGTGAGGCCATCACCATTTTCTAGAAGTAGACACAGAACATATTTAATCAACGCTTTCCAGTGAGAGTGAAGTTCATCTAAGGAGATCCTTGGTGTAGAGTAGATTTTATTCTCTCCAGTTTGAGTAGAATTTCCAATAATAAAAACTTCTTA